AAAAAAAAAAAAAGCAAAATTTGGGACAAGGCCATGACATACTAAAAACTAACAAAGACTAAAAAAGTAAACATGAAGAGTATTGTCCAAAACTAACAAATCCTCTGTTTCAGAGGATTTGAGTTTCCACTCAAAAGAGTGGAACAGTAAACTTTGCCATCCTCCTACTTAGAGGCCACTAATAATGATAAAGGCTTACTCTACAGGTCTGTTGCAGCAGATGCAGCTGGGCCAGATACCCCCACCTATGCTCCACAAAAGCTGGCAAGCTCTGTGTTTTCTTCTCTCCAAACAGTAACATATGTAACATATCCAAAGGACTTTCTTCGTCTGCCCTCATCACCAGCACAAGCAGCCACTACTGAAATTTGATGACTTCTCTTCAACAGGTAAGAATTGCTGATGCAACAGTATCAACAGAAGGAAATGAAAACCTACAACTTTGTGGTCAGCGATTAAGGATTGAAAGAGCACAAACAGGCTTAACTAGTTTCAATCTTTGCATCCATTTGCAGAAATCAGATGAGTTCTTAAAAGCGCAAATGAACAAGGATCAAGAATAGCGTAGTTCAAAAAGGAGACATAATTGGACAGCAATGGAAAACACATTTTCACTAGCAAATTCTGGTAGCACTGGTCCTCTCTGTAAAAGGAGCCCAAACAATGTTTACAAGCAGACTTCTTGAAGAGTAAAAAAATCTCTATTTCAGCACTTGCTCACGCAGTCTCTAATTTTCAGACTAGCACAAGCAAACGCTTCCAGCTGGAGATAAGGCACCACACAGAAGACAGATACACTATACTGAGACTGTCCAGCCAAAACGGAGAAAGATCGAAGAACTGTCACCACATAAATGGCTAGATGTGTTTTTCAACTGAAGAAAGCCAGAACAGTGGTCTTGTACAGCATTTAAAAAATTCAGTTATCATAAGGCTTTAACATGTTTACCAGGAAAACTATATCTGGCCTTGAGGGTTGGAAGAGAAAGCAGAAGCAGGCAAGACAGCAAGCAGACAACTTGGTGAAGGCAGCATATGGCAAAACAAGTTACCTACCAACATGAAGGAAAAAAAGTTCATAGCAATGACCTCTTTGAGGAACTGTGCTGTTTTTACACCAAAGCTATTATTTCTATGTTAAAAAAGAAAATTTATCAAATTATGTGCCAGAAAGCCCATAGACACCACAATGATTTCAGATATTGGCACATTACAGTGCAACTGCCACATACACATTTGACAGCTCTCCATGTTTTATGATATGACTCAGTGATGCATCTGAGTGAAAAGCATTCCTAGCACTGAACACAAAGCAAAACAATCCAGATAGTCATCTGTGAACTAGTCACAAGTTTTAAAGAGAAAAAAAACGTTGTGAATCTGTGTTAGATACGCTGAAATGATCTTAAACTCATTGCAGGCTTATCACACTGCCATGTTTTTCTAAACAGCGTTGGCTGTAGTACTGCATGGATAACTATACTACAGTGCCTAGAATAGTCTCAGGAGAGGCTCCTGGGAGATTTTTGGTAGGGTAACAGTTCTGCAATTACACCAGCCTGCAAACACCACTCAAGTATAAATAACAGCTTTGAGATGTCAGTAGTAGAGCTCCAGTCCTTCACTGATCACTCTAGGTACTACTACACTGGCTGCCTCAGAAGATCATCATGATCACCTGCTGAAATGGAAGGAAGCAAAAGCTCGCTCAGCTTAACATCCCACACAAAAATTATTCAGGAACCCACACCACAAAGCTCTTGGAGAGGTAAAAGGAGGTGGGGTGAAATAGTAAAGAACAAAACACATTCACAAGTAAGCAGTTTGCTATAGCTTAAAGATACCAGAAAAGGAACCTCAGCCACACATGGGGTAAGATTTGAGGAACACTCTCAGTTATTAAAATCATGAGTTGGCAGAGGGAGGAGCAGTTTCAGCTCACCTGTGCCTGAGCCACCAAACAGTAGTGTTGGCTGAACAAGTTCTCAGACCTGTGGAAAGCCTTATCTGCTCTACTTAAAACAGACAAACCTGTTCAAGTACCTCTGCATGAATGCTTAATCGGGGAGGTTAAACCAGTTCTTAACTACAGCCACCTTCTCTAGCACAATGGAGGAGAGTGGCCACCTGAGGCATAAACTGTAATTAAGACAACTCTGTTTTCCCTTCTAAATGAGTGGTTTCCTGAGAATCATCACAGGACTTGGGAGAAAAGCCAGGCAAAAAAAACAAACAAGCAAAAAAAAAAAAAAAAAAAAAAAAAAAACCAAACTTTTTAAAAAAAAAATTTTAATGGGGAAAAAAAAAATTTTGCCCTTGTTTTTTTTTTTTTTTTTTTTTTTGCAAGTTCCGTGTTTTGGAAGAAACAAAGGCCACCTTTCTTCTTCACTTTTTTTTTGTTTGTTTTGTTTGTGTTTTTTTTTGTTTGTTTGTTTTTTTTAACTGAGACAGCTTCAAATCTACAGTTACACAGAAATACTGAAGTAGTAAAAGTAACACCTAATGCCATGCATTTATTCAGTCAGAAAATGCACTAATTTTAATGCTTTTAGATAAGGATTTACTAATATTTCGCTCACCGAAAAATAAGGAGCTGACTTCTTGCTTAGCTCAATGGGAACGGTTGGAAACATAAAGGGACCTGCACAAACCATTACTACAGACTCCACTAGACAAGCACACAGTTTAAGGACCAAATATCATAAGAGCAAACTACTGCTCAAATCTGTCATGACCACATGACTGAGTGGTAACTCCTATACAGTTACTAACCCCCACGAATGGCTTAACATTTCAAAGAAACTGAAAATTTTCAATGTTAACAATGAAGTTTGGTGATTGACACAACTGAATTGCTAACTGGCAACCTTAAACACAGCAAAGAAAAAATTACCAGCTGGTTCCACTGGTTTTTAGAATAATCCAAGACAAATCAACATTAGCTTTACTGATGTGCAGCAGACTTCTGTCCCAGCTTTGTCTGGGATACAGTGTACTTCGGATTTAAAGATGAGAATAGTGTCGATAGCACACCAACACTCGAGCTGCTGCACAGCAGGGCTTACACTAAGTCAAGGACACTTCAGCTCCTCTCCACCGAGGAGGTTGGGAGGGGGGCACAAGGAGCTGGGAGGGAACACCACCAGAACAGCTGCCTCACCCTAGCCAAAGAGATGTCCCGTAACACACGGTATCGTGCCGAACAACAAAACCAAGGGGAGTTGGCTGACGGGCAGCCACTGCTCAGGGACTGAGTGGGCCCTGGTTGGCAAGTGATGAGCAACTGCATTGTGCATCATTCTTCTGAATATTCTTCTATCACAGCTAAGTTATTTGTACTCCCTTTTCTGTCCCATTTAACTGTCTTTACATCAATCCACGAGTTTTTTTTTTTTTTTTTCTGATTGTCTTTCCCATAGCATCGGCAGGGAGTGAATACCTGATGGGTTAAACCCCCAAAGCTGTCCTGCTCTTTGCAGACAAGAACTGCTAACTCTGATTTATATCAAGAGTAACCCAGCCTCCATTGGATCTGAACACATGGAAGTGTTGACAAGACAGGCCTTCAGAAAACATATATGTGTTTAGATCACGTTTGGTTGTAGAAAGAATTATTGCAGGGAGGAGGAAAGCAGCCAATGCCTTACTTCTCTATGTTCTGCCTTCCCCCTTACTGGCATTTTCTCAAGTCTATTTTGCCAGACTATGACTGGGTAACGGGAAAGATCAACACTCCACATTACTCCTACTGGACCAACAAGAGAAAATTCAATCTCTTTGACAGAAAATCCTGCAGCAGCTCACATGTTTAGGTACAGCAACCTCATGCTTAGAAGTAAAGATCTCATCTACTGGTTACCTGGAAATCTGGGGAGTTACAGAGGCATTGGGAATGTGGGCACCTGCTAGGCGTGCTTCTAAGCTTATGTTTTTCTCAGAGGCACAGCTGCTCTTTCGCCACAGAGAACCAGAAGCACGTATCCGATAGGTGAAAACAGATGCTGGCAACGCATGTGAACAGGTCTTCTCCCATGACCCCAAAGGGCCTTCCTCATCCTTCTGGTGCTGAATCCTTCTCTGCTAGGACTCACACACGTCTACTTCCTTAAATACTACCAGCAAGAGGACTTCCACATCCAGCATCTGAGAAAGAGCAAGGGGAGCCAAAAGCAGGACATGTGACCAACCACTGCAAAAATACAAAGACTGGCAAGGATGCAAAGGAAGGAAACCAAAACAGATACCTCCGACCGCATACAGCGGCGATTGGTGCAGCCAGGTATTGCACATAGATCCTTCCCCAAATTCTCAGCCTCCTGCCCTTTCCAGGCCGCCTGCTCACTTCTAACAGCCGTACTTCCATTGCTCTCCTCCTTTAATTTCAGAGACACATATCCTATTGTTTCCCAAGTAACCTGTCACCATCATAGCCACATTCAGCTCTGACTTTACACAATCTAAACTGAAGGCAGATTTCAGCCATCGCCTCTAACAGAGGTTATTCCCATGGCAGCGCAGGGAGGAAACCCGCTGACCCCAATGCTTCCCAACCGCAGAAATACAGCATCGTAGGTGTGCTACAACCACACTCCATGCAGCTGCAGACCCAAGGCCAACATCCCCTACAATCAACAGAAAAAGGCAATCCTTAGGATGAGTCCATTATATCTCTGACCTCCCGAATCCCTGCGACTGGGGCTAAAGCATCGCTTAGGAATACGGGAAGAAACGCAGACGGACAGAAAGCCGTAGGCCGGCCAGGCGGGCCGGGCTCTGCACCGAGTTCCTCCGCACGGAGCCGGGCACCTGCCCGCCGCAGGCCCCGCTCCCTCCGCCGTGCCGGTGGCGGCGCCACGGGGCGCCGGCTCCTTTGTTACCGCGGTGCGGATACAGAGCATGAAGGCAGGGCCACAGCGCTCGGGCCGGGGCGCGGCCGGCAGAGGAAAGCGGAGGCCGGGGCCGGAGCCGCGGCCCGTGGCTCGGGCGCGTCGGGCACTCACCCAAGTGAGGAGACTCTCGCCCAGCTCGGCCCGCTCCAGGCTCTCCACGTTGAACATATCGGGGCGCTGCCCGGCGCGGTACTGCCGGCGCTCCCTCCCTGCCACCCCTCGTCTACCGTTGACCCGTCGCGGCTGGGCCGCCGCGCGGACACGTCACTACGGCCCGGCGGCACCGCCCGCCCGCGCCTGCGCCCTGCGCCCGCCTCTCCTCCCTTCTCCTCTCCTTTCCTCTCCTCGCCTCGCCGCACCGCGACGCTGCTGCCGGGGGGCGGGGCGGCGGCCGGCGGGCAGCGCGGCGCTCCCGGAGCTGAGGTACCGCCGGCGCGACTCCGCCGCCGGGAGGGTGCCGGCCTTGGGGGGTGGTCGGGCGCGCGCAGCCGGGCGGGACGCGGCAAAGGCCGAGCGGGGCCCGGCGGCGGAGCTTAGCCCCTCGGCTGGGCGCTGAAGGGGGCGGAGGGCCGCGGCCTTCGGCGGGCTGAGATGGGGCTGCGGCCGGCGGCGCGCGGCGTTTGCAGTTCGCTTCCCCTCTCCGTGCCGGGGATAACGAGAAGCGCCGGCCTCGTCGGCCGGCCCGGTGGTCGGACACGCAGCGGGGCTTCTAGTCTTGCTGTTCGCTGCAGGTGTGAGCTTGCGTGCAGAAGCACTGCTGTCTACAGTAAGGAGTTGTTGAGCTTTTTTTTTCTTTTTTTTTCTTGGAAAGTAAAGAAATGAAAAGCCCTTTTAGCCTCGGTTTGAGTATTGCCATATTTCACTGAGCATTATTATACTGCTTCACCTCCCTGCCTGCCTGCCCAGAAGTCACCCAGCTGAAGGCGCTTTCACGTGGCCCCGCCCGCACGCAGTCTTAGGGGTGGATGGGAGCTCTGGAGATCATCCAGTCTGACGCCCTGCTTAAACAGGTTCCCTGCAGCAGAATGCACAGGAAAGTGTCCAAATGGGTCTTGAATATCTCCAGAGGAGATTCTGTGCACAGCCTGTTCTGCTGCTCTGTGGCTTTGAAGTTAAGGGAGTGCTCTGCACATTATTTCAGTTCTGCACTCCATGTCTTTATAGCCCTGTTCCTTTATAAGCCTTGAACCTCCGTCTGTTCAAGCCTTATGGAGGAGTTGAGAACTCATTTGGGGCCTGTTCTACACAGGCCACACACCATCCAGACAGATACCCCAAGCAGAAATTCTGCACATATCATGGCTTTGTCTTTTTCTTCAAGCCATCAACAGTTGCAGGCTGACAAAAAAAATGAGACTTACTCATTGGAGTATTTTGCCTTGTGGAATGTGCTTCTGAAGGTTGCATCCTTAGTGATTCTAACTTGCAAAGCATGATTCCATTCAGCCTGGAGAAGAGAAGGCTGTGAGGTGACCTGATAGAGACCTTTCAGTGTCTAAAGGGGAGCTACAGGATAGAAAGGGACAGGCTCTTTCTGTGGTTTGTGGTGGTAGAACAAGGGGAAATGGTTTCAAGCTCAAAAAGGGTAGATTTAGGTTAGGTATAAGGAAAAAATCTTTCCCAGTGAGGATAATGAGGCACTGGAACAGGTTACCTAGTGTTACGATTGATGCCCCATCTATGGAGACATTCAAGGCAAGGTTGGATCAGGCTCTGCACAACCTGATCTGATTGTGGTGTCCCTATTCATTGCAGGGGAGTTGGTCTAGATAACCTTCAGAGGTCCCTTCCAACTCTAAGGATTCTATGATTCTATTATGTGATTAGGAGAAGCAGAATACCTGTTTTCTTTTGGGTTTTTTTTTGTTTTTTTAGGGAATGTCACACAGAGGCTGCTGACCTCCAGCCCTGCAGAGAACTGCTCTGTCAGGCAAGCATGTTGGTGAGGCAGATCTTTATACTGAAGAAATGTTATCCTGTGCTGAAATGGCCCTGCCCTGTTATGGCTTTGTAGTAAATCTAACAGGACTGTTTACATTTTTATTTTTCTCTTCTGCAGTGAGTGTGTGTGCACATGAACGTATTCAGCTATAATTTGCTCAGTCAGCTGTTCTGATTTCTGACTCCAAAGTAGCTTATAACTCATAGCAATACTGTATGAATAGATTGCATGAAGTCCTAGTAAAATATTACCAAGTCTGTTTTAACATTCTCACAGTTTGTATCTTGTTAATTCGTATGCTGCTTCATTTTATTTTTTATTTCCCATATTACACATGCCCTTTGGTTTCTGATATTAAAACTGATGGAGATACATATCACTGAGGGTTGTGTGCTTTATGCAAGTAAGAATTCCATCACAAAAATGAAGTAAACCCTGCTTTGTCAAAAAAAAAAAAAAATTCTAAGTATATCCACTGCCATTACCCATTTCTCTGCTAAAAGGTTGTATATTTATTGTCTGCACTACTGCCTCAAAGACCAACTTTGAGCACACCTTCAGTGCTGCTTGTACATTCCCTCTTGCTCATCGTACGTGCTGAAAGCATGCCATTGTTATGGTCTCTGAATGCACTCTCGGCATACCCTTCAATCTTGCATGAAGGAAAGTAGCTGTAGAATCCATTAGCAAAATTTCCGTTCTGAACCAAACAGTGCTGTCAGGTCCCACCTGTATTTTTTGCTGGTCCTTCACAAGTGATCAGAACACACTAATACTACAAAGTAGAAAATAGGAAACTTCCAATAGGAAAGATCTCAATAGAAGGGCTGCTACAGAATAAACCTGCCCCTTTTTAGTGTACTTAAATTGATTTCTGTTACCTAAAGTAGGTCACTTAGGAGAAACCTGCTGTCACAAATGAAACCAATTTGTACTCATTCGCTTATCTTGTGAGGACTCAGTTTAGCACTTAGGACTTGAGGACAGGTCTTTTTGGTGTTTAAAAAAATGAGAATTGAATTGCAAGAGTGATCGGTACTTATGAATACTACAGTTTTGTAAGGCTGCCTTTCTCAGTAGTATTTTCCTGGTTAGGAGGTCATTTATCCTGGAGAACTCATAGCCTCTCCAAAGTGAGAAACATCTCTAAGGAAATGAAGTAATGGTTCTGCTAGTAAAAGACATTAGCCAAAATGTATTATAATTTCCTGCATATGCTTTGGCCTCCTCCCCTGTCTTCATCTTTCACTTTTTCATATTTTGAGCACTGTTGGTGGCTGTCAGTATTGCAACAGAAGTAGCACTGAACTGAAGTAGGTTATTCTTAGTCAGTTGCCCCTCAGCCCATCCTTGAAAGGACATGTTGTTATCAAAAATATTTTTCAGATGCTGAGCAAATTGCAGCCTTCTCTCCAAGTCTGTGTCACTCTTGGTTGCTAATCAGTATTTCACGGCAGTACTGCATCTATATTATCTTATTGTTTTCTTCTCTGAGGTGAAGAGAACCTCTTTGTTCCTTAGGCTTATGTCCTCCTTTGGTGGTAGATCCTAAGATCTTAGTCTTTCCAAGAGTATATCAGCATATGGTGATATACTTGCTGAACTTGGAATATACAAATCTTGTAGCTGTGGGGATATTCTGACTTTGGGTAGCTAGCAGCAAGTACTTAATACATCATGGCAAAGTTGGTTTTTGTTTGTATGCAAGTTATGGCATGGCTATTGCTCTTACTGTGCTGTATGTAATACGTCAGAGTCTCATAAGGAAACAGTGATGTATTCACAGCAGCGTGGGGTCTTCATGCCCTCATATTTCAGTATTATCTATATGAGTTTTCAATAATAATATTGCCACAAACGTAATGTTACTTCTTGCAGTTCTCTTTTTTTTTCCACATGAAGTTGTATCTATTGCTCAACTTAACCATGAAATGGGAAAATTGCTATTGGAAGCGTATACAAAACAGTTTTGCTTTCTGTCTGTAATCTGTCTCAGCAAAACTCGGGAAAAGCAAAGCTATTATGTGTTCAAGTGAGTAGTATGAAATGTTTCTTACCAGCATAAATTCCATCCCTTTCTATTTTGAAGTGTTCTGTGACCAGCTGAATCTGTTTGAGGTTATTTACATTCTGTAGCCATACAGAATCCTGGGTCGCGTAAATCTGCACTGTGCTGCAGAGTCCCGCTGTTATTTAGTGAGGTCAAGGAGTGAAGCAGTAATTGCTTGTCCTTTTTACTTACTGGGCAGTTGAGCTAGTTTGCCTTGTGCAAGTGCTTGAACATGAGCTGAAAATTAAGTTTTTGTTTTTCTTGTCTTTTTCTACCTTGCAAGTTTTTGTTGGTTTTTTAAACTTTGCAACTATGCTGTTGTCATTCCTGTTGCCATTCAAGTTGATGGTATGAATTCCAATTTAGATGGGAGTTTTTTTGGTTTTTTTTTTCCTTTAATTGGAAGGCAGGGTGAGGTTATGCTTTCTTTTCAGAAAGCCACCTTCCTGCTAACTGGTTAAAAAGAGAAAAAAAATCATTAATCTAAACAATCACAGAATCACAGAATCACCCGGGTTGGAAGGGACCTCAAGGATCATGTAGTTCCAACCCCCCTGCCTAGCAGGGCCACCAAACATACACATTCAGATCAGGTTGCCCAGGACCCCGTCCAACCTGGCCTTAAACACGTCCAAGGACGGGGCATCCACAACCTCCCTGGGCAGCCCGTTCCAGGGCCTAACCACTCTCCTAGTAAAGAACTTCCCCCTAACATCCAACCTAAATCTTCCCTCCTTCAACTTAAAACCATTTCCCCTAGTCCTGCTGTTATCAGCCCTTCTGAACAGTTTACTCCCCTCCTGGGTGTAGGTTCCCTTCAGGTATTGATAGGCTGCAATGAGGTCACCCCGCAGCCTTCTCTTCTCCAGGCTGAACAAGCCCAACTCCCTCAGCCTGTCCTCATAGGGGAGGTGCTCCAGCCCCCTGATCATCTTAGTCGCCCTCCTCTGGACCCTTTCCAAAATCTCTATGTCTTTCTTGTACTGAGGGCTCCACACCTGGACACAGTACTCCAGGTGGGGCCTCACAAGAGCCGAGTAGAGAGGGACAATCACCTCCCTGTCCCTGCTGGCCACCCCTCTCCTGATGGAGCCCAGGATCCCATTTGCCTTTCGAGCTGCCAGAGCGCACTGCTGGCTCATGTTCAGTCTCTCGTCCATCAGGACCCCCAGGTCCTTCTCTGCCGAGCTGCTCTCAAGGACCACTCCTCCCAGCCTGTACAGGTGCCTGGGGTTCTTCCGGCCCA